AACAATGCGTCCTCGTTGGAGACACGCGTCTGGCCCGAACATCTAGCACACCCATCTTGCAGCACATCGTTCCCCGAGCGGCATAGCCACAAGCGCCCGCGGCGGAACTTGCAATGCAAGAGTTCTCGGCGCGCGCGCGACGCCCCCGAACCTCGACGTCACGCGGCTGTCACGGGACTGTCAAAAACCAGCTTCGGATGGGCGCGGGGACGTCAAAAACCAGCTTCGGATGGGGTGGTGGCGTCAAAAACCAGCTTCGGCGGGGACGTCAAAAACCAACCCCGTTTTTTCAATCGACGCGTCACTGTTTCGGGAGCGGCAAAGAGGGGGGGTTCAAAGAGGGGGGGGTGCAATTCATGACCGGCGGCATGTGCGCGGCCCAGTGGGGGGGCCAGGGACGTAATGAAATAAGAAGAGGCGCCATGAAATCTGGGGAAATATCATGCTCCCCGCCATGATATCCACCCCCCCCTAGTCATCACCCCCCTCTTTTCCGCCCCCGACTGTTGGGGGTTCTGTCCACCCCGGGACCTCCCGCGCCAGCTGCTCGGCGCAGGCCTCGGCTCTCTCGGCGCGCTCGCCGGCGGCCCCCTCCAGGGCCTGCGCGCGGAGGCCGAGGGACCGCAGCTCCTCGCGTAAGAACGGTTTTTTGAAGGCAGATCTGCCTTCAAAAGAACGGTGTTTTGAAGGCAGATCTGCCTTCAAAAGAACGGTTTTTTGAAGGCAGATCTGTAAGAACGGTTTTTTGAAGGCAGATCTGCCTTCAAAAAACCGTTCTGACAGAGTGGGCCTGCGCGCGGAGGCCGAGGGACCGCAGCTCCTCGCGGGGCGGAGGGCGCGGGCGCACGAGCTGGGGCCCCACCCGGGGGGGGGAGCGAGTGCTGGCCGTGGCTCGGACGTCCCTGTCCTGTGCTTTTTTCGATCCTCTTCCTCCTCCTCCTCCTCCTCCTCCTCCTCCTCCTCCTCCTCCTCCTCCTCCTCCTCCCCTTCGCCACCCTGTGGCGTGGTTTTTTCGCGAAATGATCCAGGATGCTCCTCGGTGGTCCTCGCCGAAGGAAAAATATGCACACGCCCGAGCGACGCCGAGAGCGTGACGAGAGCGAGGCTGAAAGAGAGAGCTCCAGTGCGAGGAACAGCAACTCGGGTGTGATGCGAGTTCTTTAGCACACTTGACTTTGCTTTCTCACACTTCCGCTTTGTGCATCACACGTGTACACCACGAGAGTGGGGTCGTGCACATATCCCCTGGGGAAGCGATCCCCTGGGGAAACGAACAAGCTGATCTGGCAGTGTGTGTGGGCGGGGGCGGTAGCCAAAAATCGCCCCCCTGACACCAGTCCTTTGGGCCGCCCCCCTGACACCAGCCCTTTGGGCTAAGGTGGTCCAACAAATTCTTCGTTCCTCTTCCAAAACCTCTTTCCTTCCGGGAAGCTTGCTCTCACGGGCAGGAAAAGTCCGGAGCTCCGCAAGGATTTCTTGGATCGGCGCTGAAGCCCTCTGACGGCGCCTTGGGCGCCCTCCCTGGCGCGCGAGGCGCCAGGTAGAGGAGGAGAAGGAAGAGGAGGAGGAGGAAGAGGAGGAGGAGGAGGAGGAGGAGGAGGAGGAGGAGGAGGAGGGGGAGGGGGAGGAGAAGGAAAAGGCAAAGGGAAAGGACAAGGAAAAGGAGGAGGAGGAGGAGGACGAGGAGGAGGCCCAGCACCGATCCGAGAAGTCCGCGCGGAGCTCCGAGAGCTGCGCGTGCCGCTGTTTCCTTCGGCGGTCCTCCCGGGCGCGAGCGGCCCCTGCCTGCAGCTCCTGCACCGAGTCGCGCAGCGCGGCCTGCGAGCGGCCCGCGCTGTCCGCCAGCTGCGCGAAGGCGGCGTCGTTGCGCAGGGACTGCTCCCGCAGCGACTGTATCTGCAGCCTCAGGTCCTCAGGATGACTACCTACCAGACCACCCCAACCCAACCCGAAGGCCCGAATTTCGGGTTGGGGGGGTAAAAGGGTTCCACGCGTGTTTTTTCGATGTTCCCCGACCCCCCCCCCCCCCCACTGGAAATCGACGGTAAATTTGAGCCTTCGGGTTGGGTTGGGGTGGTTTGATGGGTGGTGACAGGAGGCAACGACTGGGGGGTCTTCGACGGAAGTATTCAGGAGGATCAAGCCCCAGTGGGGAGCTGCTACGCCAGAGTATGCCACGGATGAATGAAACGGGACGAAGCCGGATGAAGCGGGATGAAGCCAGAGGAAGCGGGATCGAGCGGGATCACGCCGGGCTTCGGACCAGAGCCAAGTCAGTCGGCGCTGGACAAACCTCCCTTTAGTAAACCTCCCTTTAGTGAAAACGGCCCGGGACCGAAGCCAACGGGCCTGGACCCGCAAACATGACGGCCGCGACGCCCTCTCGCAAACCGAAAACGGCCAATTCGCTAATCGACGTGTCAGGGCAGGAGGTCTGTCCACCCCCGTGTCAGAATTTGACCCCCCGGGCGCTGCACCTGCAGCCTCCGGTCCTGGTCGGCCGAGGCGTTGCTCCTCGCGCGGAGGGGCGCAAGACAGCGGGCACCCCCCCTCCGCCGCGAGGCGCACCAGGGGCCCAGGCCCCCTCGCGGCAGGAGGAGAGCGTCGCAACGGATGAGCTTCCGTCATCAGCCAGCCTCGAACAGTTCCCTGTCCCTAAGACTGGCAGGCCAGAGGGCGATGACAATCTCAGGGATGCGCCCTCAGAGACGAAGGCAATCCCTGAGATCGGCGTCGAGATATGAGGCGATGCCAGGCTTAGGGATGGGGATATGTTTCGGGCTGGTAAGTCATGCACTAGTTATGTTCTTCCTCTTGGGGCCCGTACCGGGCCTCAAGGCCGACAAAACACGACTCAGGATGAGAAGCCCGGCACGGTGAAAAAGTCCAGACTTCTGGGGGGTCCACGCAAGGGAAAAAAGACGTCGGGGGTCTTGGGAAAATCCTCCTGGAAGGGTAGGTACCCCCCTCCCCTTTGGACGCCCGACATGGGCACGAAAAACAATGGTACGATGCCCAACAACGAATGTTGTCCAAAACCGACAGCGGCCGCTGGGCACGCGGCCCTTTGTCTCGAATGTCCCGAGGGCCTCACGGCCTCCGTGATCTTGGCGAACAGCCCGCTGAGCTCCTCACGAAAATCGTCCGCACCGCTGCGCACCTGCCGCCGCGCGTCCGCGGTCTGCTCTCGCAGCTCCGCCAGGTCGGCCCGGCCCGCCGCCAGCGAGGCGCGGGCGGCGCCCATCTCGCCCCACGCCTCGGTAGGGCGCCTAAACAACCGGTCCTGGGCCCATCCTTGCTTGCGCGATAGCCCGCCCCTACAAACAAAAACAACAAGACTGCCCATGCTGGACATAGACTGGCAATTTTTCGTCGCTGTATCGTGAATGGGGGGCCACGTCCAATTCCATCGCAGAGGCGGGGGGTCTGGGAGGGGGCGTGCCACTCCTTGACAAAGACCATGCCCCGACTTGCGGCTGCCGCGATCGCCGCGGCGGGCGACCTCCCAAACCAGCCCCGAGGCTTGGTGCGGGGACGTGGTGTTGGGTCCTCGCCCTGAATCTGACACTCTCCTCCTCCTCCTCCCCCCCGCCCTCCTCCCCACACCCCTCACACGCTTCGTGGCCCCATAGGGAGCTCCACCGGAGGCCCCAGTGGCAAGAGCCGCATGTGCGACCTCGCCCATGACGGCATACCTCTTCCACGTCTTGTGTGCGGAAAACATACTCGTTGCGGGTGCCATGACAAGGGGCATCCTCACAATCCGATCACTGAAGTTGAGCATGTGTTTAAAATGTCGGGGAGGTGCTAAAACATATCTGAACTATGTGTTTTGCATGTTAACATGATTTAGATCGTGTTTAGCATCTGGGAATTAGTTGGCAACATGCTTCCTCTCCCTCCACTGATCGTCGTCCGCAACACAATCGTATCCCCGGCCTTGCTGGCTGGGCCCCTGGACCACGACCCCGCGGACTCGGGGGCGCTCTCTCCTCGGGACGCCCCGCGAGGAACGCCTCCGCGCGACCGCGCCTCAACGGCATCGCGCCGAGGAGCCAAAGACAGCGAGGGCTAGGCCGGGCATGTCCCCCTGCATGGTCAAAGGTGGTCAAACATGGCAGAAACAAGCTTTAAAGATGGCAAATGCTCGAAATGATGGTCGAAAAAACTCGTCCCCACACATTTTTGTCGAACAATATTTGGGCATTTTTTTTTTTGCTCTTTCCTTGGCCTCCCACGCTGGGTCATCAAAACTATCGGAGCGGAAGGCCGGTCGCGGAGGGCGTCCTGGGCTCCGCCTTGGACCCCTGCAAAGCCCGGAAGCTCGACCCTGTTTTGGCCGTGCGGAGCGGGGGCGGACTAAAAACTCCTTGCGCAATTACCTCTGGAACCTATTTGGGCATTCCCCGTGTATAGGGGGACAGGCCCGGCTTGCAGCGAGGGCGTGGACCTGGACGCGCGGAGGCCGAGCCGGCGAGGGCGGCCGCCCCGCGCCTCGGGAGGGGGCGCCCGCCGCGACCCCCTCCTGGGGCCCAGCCCGTCGGCGCCTGCCTCGTGCTGCGCCTTTTCGAATGCCCACACTTCGTCCTCGAACTATTGATATTCCTCCCCGTCCTCCTCCCCATCCTGATCGTCGTCGTCGTCCTCCTCCTCCTCGTCCTCCTCATTCTCCTCGTCTTCCTCGTCTTCCTCCTGCTCCAGCTCCTCCTCGTCGGCCTCGTCCAGGACCTCGTCCTCGTCGTCCTCGTCCAGGATGGGGAGAAGGGCGAGTCGGGCCGGGCGAGAAGAGTGAGAGTCCCCCCCCCTGCTTTGCGAGTGCGAGATATCCCGAAGCCGCCTCGGGGAGCTCCGAATGCAATGCCCCGAGTGCGATGCCCCGGAGCCGCCCACGATGACCACGACGGCCTCTATCGGGCTGGGCGAAAGGGGGGGATAGCAAAGGGGGGGGTTGAGAATCAGCTCACGTGGCTGATTTTCCCAGCGCCTCCCGGCTCCGGGAGGCGGCCATCTATCGAGGAATGGGCCCGGCGGCGGGGCCGGAACCAGCTGCATGCAGCAGATTTCGTAACTCCCCCTTTCCCTATCCCCCCCCCTTTCGTCCAGCCCGAGTCTCGGGCATGTCGCGGGGTACGTCGCGGGTTGACTCGCGGGTGGGTCACGGGAGGGTCGCGGGTGTGTCGCGGGCGGGTCTCGGATGGGTCGCGGGTGTCGCGGGTTGGTCGCGGGCCGGTCGCGAGCGGGTCGCGGGTGGACCGCGGGCAGGGACGCGAGTGGGACGACGACAACAAGAACAGACATCAACCACAAGAAACACACAACCCCACTTCAGCCAAGCACCCAGGGACAGTAAAACGACCGTCCGGCCCCTCATTCTGATCTTGCCCACCTGTGCATTAGAGGTCAGAGCCCTTTGCTGTCGTCGTCCTTCGCTCAATCGCTCGTCTCCCCATGATGGGCCCGAGAGAACACAAAAATAAGCCCCCGAAAAACTAAACTTCTCACCCGCTTCTCCCGGCCCTCAACCTGCCTCGTGCAAATGCCGGGGCATGGGACGGGAATCTACGGACCCGGGTCAATCCAAGCCCCGGTCAGTCGGGCCGTGCAGGATCCTGCAGAATCCTGCACCCGAATTGGGGTCCGTGCGCCCTTGGCCCTGCAGAGCCCTGCAAGATCCGGCGCTCTGACTGACCCCCGTTTGCATTGACCCCCATCTCTTGAGCCCCGACTCGCCCTGCCTCGTGCAAGAACCCGGGAAGGCGGCGTGCCACTTGTTCGCATGCCCGGTAGCGGTCGTCACGCAGGGGGGGGGGGCTTACAGGGCCCTGGGTGACGGCAGCGCTTGGGCGTGGAGTGGGGCACTCTCGGGGCGGGGGGCCCTGCGATCGTCACAGTATGCACGCATGTGGGGTGGGGTCCAAGCCCCCAAACCCTCCTTCGCACGATCCTTACAGTTACATCCGGACCCAGGCCAGAAGAACGTCCCTCAAGAAAGTGAGACCCTCCGCTGGCCAAAACACATAGAACAGCCAAGGGTACCCTCCCCAGGATGCTCAAGAACGCCCAACAAACACGAAGAATACTAGGGTACCCTCCCCGTACCGACCTCAATCTCATACCTCGGTCCGACTGTACCCAGGAAGGGGGAAGAGGCGGAGGCCAAGGTAACGACCGTTACGCGCCAGAAGAAACAAAAATCGATCTCGGCAACGCGCCGAGGGGGAAGTGAGAGAGGGCAAGCCTTCTCAAAGGCAATGGAACATGATTGTTCAGGGGCCCTTCCGCCTTACGCCGGATTAGCACAAATTAGTCCAGAGTGCGCGCGGGATTCGGCCTGTGTTTGTCCACGGTATACCAGCGTCGAAAGCCCGACCGTTTCCCCGGGGCTGTTTTTTTCAGCCCGAATCGTCTTTTGACGGTCCCGGGGCCCGGCCCCCAGAGGCGGAAAACTGCCAAAAAACTTCCGTCGTGATGTTTTGTTCAAGGCGCGAGCACGTCTGGGATTGAAACCCTCCGACGCCTGGCGCTCCGCCGCCATGAGCCTCGCCCGGAACTCGCTGGCCCACCGCGCGAAGGCGAGCGCCGTGACGTCGAAGTCTGCGGCGGACTCCATCGCTGCCTGCCGACGAGGGCCCGCCCCGCCTGAGGTGCGCCCCGGGCCACCTCGAGCCAGAACGGCTACGCTAGAAAACATCTCACGGCCAATGGCGCCCACTAGCGCAAAACGGACATCATTCGAGTAGGATCAACTGAAGAATTAGTTTACCCCAAATTTGATTTGCTCGTCGAATGTGTGACAAATGCGTAGAGAGCTTGCAGGTCATTCATTAAACGTGTCCTTCGTAACTTCGACGAGAAAATCCATGTCAAACCAATTCTGTAGTCGATCCACTACTCGAATCATGCATCTCCCTCACATGGCGCTATCGGGCGCTATTGGCCGCTATTGGGCACCAGCTGAGCGCTAGTCGGCGCTGAGCGCGCTACTGGGCGCTCTTCGCCGACGTACTCTCCATCCCAGACGAGCGGAATCTTCGATGGGTTCCTTGCTGACGGAGCCACGTCTGGGAGTTTCTCGCAAGAATGAATGAGGGCTCTCCCCCGACATGCCCGCGTCGGGCCAAGAAACACGACCGGAGGCTTCTGGACGTTTCTGGCCCCTGGGGGCCCTTGCTGGACCCGGGACCGCCACAAAACGACTCGATATGAAAGAACAGCCCCGGAGAAAGGGTCGTGACTTCCAGGGACCCCGTCCTGGAAAAAAACAGAATGCGCACCATCAATTTGGACGCCCGAAATGGGTACGGAAAGAATGGGGACGATGCCCAACAGCAGTTCCTGTTCATTTTGACCAGGATCCGCTGTCCGCGCCGCCGCGACCGGTGTCCATTCGAGACAGAGGGCCGCCCGCCCAACAGCGGCCGCTGCTGGTTCGGGACAACATTTGCTGCTGGGCGTTGTACCCATTCTTTCCGTGCCCCTTTCGGGCGTCCAGAATCAGTCGGGAGCGGCCAAGAGGGGGGTGTCGAAGAGGGGGGTGTGCAAATCATGACCGGCGGCATGTGCGCGGCCCAGCGGGCGGGCCAGGGACGTAATGAAATAAGAAGAGGCGCCATGAGATCTGGGGAAATATCATGGCCCACGCCATGATATCCACCCCCCCCTAGTCATCACCCCCCTCTTTTCCGCCCCCGAGAATCAGGCCGGATCAGTCTGGACCAATGCCCGGTCAAGCCTCACAGAGACAGTCCATAGAGGCGGGACAGCGTGGGTGTGGGATGTGGCCAGGCTGCGGCCACGGACGTGCCAGCGCCGAGATGCTGATCCTGCCACCTCCCAGGCGTCGCGTCCTGGGCCGCGGAGGTGGCGCTGCCTCGGTGCTCGTCGGCGACCTCCGAGCCCTGCCCTCGCCAGCCAACGATTCTCCTGGATCGATGGGAGGCAGAGGCAAGGTTCAGATGACGCCGGGCAGTCTCGCTCCCAATCCAATCCTATCTACTCTCTCCCAATCCCTCCCAATCCGATATCCCTCCCTCGCTACCACCGCCCATCCTCGTCCCTCATCCCTCCGAATATCCCTCCTCCTCCTCCCCCGCCTGCCGAACGCCGTCCGATCTCCTCGGTAACGTGAAGAGGAGGGGGACAACAAGTTTGTACCCGAGGAGCATCAACGATGTTGCAAAAAAAACTCCAAACTCCCACTTCGTGGGTCCCTTCGTTGCTGAAGGTGGCCCATTGAAATAGAACCGTCTGGCAATGCTCAATCGTGCCAGAACGCCATTCCTGAGACTTCAGCACCACGAATCAAAGTACGTGTTGCGTCCTGGCAATCCTCAATCGTGCAAAACATCATTCCTGTGATTTCGACATTCCGGATCCTTGAATTGAAGCTGTTGTGCACTCTTAAGACGACTGCGCACGGTCCTAAAGGGAGAGCCACAAATTGGAAAAGATCTGTCCTCCATCCGTGAAGCTGTTCCACATTCAAGCTTCAAAATCAAACAATGTGAGATGATCCCAAGCAAAACACCTGGCCCGTTCTACCGACATGTCTGGGGGTGCGAGGTGGAGGAGGTATATATAAGGAAAAGGGATGAAGGAGGTAGGAGGTAGGAAGGCGTGCAAGTAACATTCTACCTTCCCCCTCCGCGCTACTGCCTCCTCCATCCGTCCCCCCCCCTCCCTGCCCCCTGTTTCCTTCCCCAACCTCATCTTTCCCTCCTACATCTTCACATTCCGCCTCCTCCCCCCTGGCAAGATGGAAACGGATCCAGTCGAAAAAGGGTCCTCAACCACCAGAACCATCTTGCCTTCTCGGGACGCCTGTTGAAAGTACCAGGGCCCGTGCAGGGCCCATTGTGGTCTGAAAACAAATGGAAAACCACAAGGCTCGTTTCCGTCAGGACCCGCTTCCTTCGTGGAAATACCCTCCCTCCCCTACTCTCCATTCCTCCCTCCCTCCTTCCATCCTTCCTTCCTCCTTCCTTCTCCCCCCTCTCCCTCGAGGAGACCAAACAATTACCGCGAATTGCTACAATTACTACCTGGACCGGAATGTCGAGGCGAATCCAGCGGTGGCCACGAGAATCTCCCAGGAGGCCAAAAAAAGTAAACCAATAAGCAGGGGGAGCGGTATCGATACGAGTTCATCCTCTGACTCATCCTCTCCCGCGCCCCTCCCCCTCTCCCCCATTCCCTCCCCTTGTGAGGCGAACTCATGGGAGCCGCCCGTATCATCTTGCTGGCTCTTGCGAATCGAAGCTGGTCGACAGTGCAAATCTACGCTATTCGACGCTAAATCGGCGCCTTCTCATCTGCCAGACGTTCGCGCACGCGAGTGCACTCTGAGGACGGAAGTGCTACGTCGTAGCCGACTGTGGAGGACACGCAAGATGACCACAAGACCATTCTGAGGGCCAGATTGCGGAGTGCAGAAAGCATAGGTCGCGAACCACAGGACACGAAGGTACCCTTGGTTCGGCAAGGTCGGCCTACTAGTTAATCAACCTCGACTGTAGGGCATGCAAGGCTCCCGTGAGTTGCCACAGATCGGCGGCGAGCGACAGGGGGAACTGAAGAGGAGAAGGCCTTCTCAAAAGGCAGCGGGGCTTCTCAGAAGCTCTCCGGCCTTCTGAGACGTTCTCTGCGTCTTCGGGCAAGGCTCAGACAACTTCCCAAAAGGCCGGGGCTACCGAGCCTTCTGAGGCCCTCTCCTTCTCACTTCCCCCTCGCTCGCCGCCGATCTAAGTTGGAGTACCATGTGGGATCTGCTCTAGAATGAAAAATACCGTAGACGGATCTACCCTTTCTCTGACCGCGTACTAAACGCAACGGCCGCGTTGTCCATCGACGCATCCAACCCGAATGCGTCGATATAGACGTCACTATACCCAGTGTGTCCATAGACGCTTTTGGTTAGAACGTGGGGACGGTGTATTCAGCATCGGCCCCAACTGTTCGTCGTGTAGAAGCAGGTACAGTCAACCCGTATAGTGAGGATGCGCAATAAAGATGCAAGGGCCTTGGACGCCCATTTCGAAGCGTTTCGAGCGGGGCGCGGGCAACGGAAGTGGCTAAGGATGGGCCGAGGAGGCAAGGATGCAAGGGTACCCTTGGGAAGGTTGCCTATCCTTACTCTGCGGGTTTACTGTATTCGTCTTCTAGAAGCAGGGCAGACTTGGCCCCCCAAGATCTGATGACGGCCTTGCTGAGACACGCCAGGCTTCCATGAGCTGCCGCCGGCCCCCCCCCTCGCCATCGCTTGGACTCCCATTCCATGTGCTGCATGTTTCGGCTTCGTGCGTGCATGTCAACGAAAAGTTCACACACATGCTCCTCGACGGTGCTTGCCTTAGGTCGGACATGTCCCCCCACGGACGGACTCTGGAAGCAGACTGAAACCTAGCCAAGACATGCCCGATAAGAACCGGGAATAATGGGAAACTCGCCCCCAGACTGTTGCTTGACTATGTTTGAGAGTAGTCCTCCAGTAGAGGAAGAGGAGGAGGAAGAGGAGGAGGATGAGGACCAGTGTAAAGCCAAGACTCATCAACGATGTTGCAATAAACCCTCCCTCAAAGCTCCCTCTTGACAAGCCCTTACAAGAGTTCATTTTCACTGAAGGTTGGGGGGCGGAAAGATACGGATACGTGTTGTCCCCGGACCTCTCTTGGGGTGCGTTCTGACCAGAATTTCGAGGCGAATCCAGCGGTGACAACGAGGATTCCCCAGGAGGGCCAGGAAAGACCGAAAACGAAGGGGGACAACACGTATCCGTATCTTTTTCTCCCCCGAGAAGGGGGTTGCACATGCCCGCGCCCGAGCGATGCCGAGGCGCCCCACGCCCAAAGAGGCGGGGCGGGCGGCGCGCGCCCAGGCCGCCGCGGCGCCGCCGAGGAGCGGCGCGAGGACCGCGGGCGGCGGCCTCGGGGGAGCGGCGGGTGGCCCGCCTCCTCCGCCTCCTCCGCCCTCGCCCTCCTCCTCCTCCTCCTCCGCCCTCCTCCGCCCTTCTCCGCCCTCGCCCTCCTCCTCCTCCGCCCTCGCCCTCCTCCTCCTCCTCCTCCTCCGCCCTCCTCCTCCTCCTCTCCTCCTCCTCCTCCTCCTCCTCCTCCTCCTCCTCCTCCTCCTCCTCCTCCTCTTCCTCCTCCTCCTCCTCCTCCTCCTCCTCCTCCTCCTCCTGCCGTGGGCCCCACCCGGAGGACCAGGACGAGGACGAGGCCGAGGAGGACGCCGAGGTCCGCTCGGCGGCGGACGACGGGGGGGGAAGCGGGGAGGAGGAGGCCTCCTCGGAGGGCGGCGGGGCTGCTCGGAAGCCCCCCGGCCTTCGGAGGAGCTGTCCGGGTCCTCGGGGATAGCCCAGAAAACTTCTCAGAAGGCCGGGGGACTTGCCAGCCTTCCGAGAAGGCCCGCCTCCTCCCGCTCCCCCCCTTGGGCCGGCCGCCGAACGACGAGGACGACGAGGACGAGGACGACCCGAATGGAATGGAGCTCTGCGAATCCCGAGGATCTCGTCGCCAGCGGAAGGACTGGTTTCGAAGGCATTGCTACCGAGCACCTAGCAAGGATTCTAAGACGCACTGCCCTCTGTTTACCCACCCCGACGACGAGGCTGGACTGGAC